TGTCCTCCCCACCGTGTCCTCCCCACGTCCTCACCATCGTGTCCTCCCCACCTCCTCACCACCGTGTCCTCACCACCATGTCCTCCCCACCGTGTCCTCCCCTCGTCCTCACCATCGTGTCCTCCCCACCATGTCCTCCCTACGTCCTCACCATCGTGTCCTCACCACCTTGTCCTCACCATCGTGCCCTCTGCGTCTGTTGTCATTTATTTCTTTTTGTCTCATAAAATATTTATTGTTTATAAAATATATTGAACACAGAAAACAATAACAACAACGTATGATTTTGGTAAATGTTTATTTGTTTGGCAGAAAAATAAAATATAATCGTGAGAAACGTAAATTCGTGAAAAGTGTTTATAGTAGAACATAAATGTCGGTAATTACAGAGGGGGAAGCAATGTGCAGGCGTTGCCCGTAGCAACCAATGAGCCTTATTACAGACTTTATTGTAGTTTTGGATAAAGTAAAAAAGTTTAACATTCTATTAGGTTCCAATTTGTGTCCCCATTGGGGAGATTTCCTCTCACATCCTGTCCATGTGACAAGGGGGGTGCAGTGGTCACAAGGACAGCAGGCAGGGGCAAAAATACTGTCACCCTTCCTCATGCTTCTGACAGGAAGTGAGGGGCAATTTCACCCCCGATAGGTACAAAGATGGCAACAAAAACCTGTCAAGAAATTTGGACAGAAGACCTGTGTATTGGTTAGCCGGTGTGCAGAGGTGGACATCCCCTTGAAATCAGTGGAGATAACACTTGACGGTAGCAGCGACCGCCAGCACTACATTTTTGTATCTTTTCTCAAAAGCTAAATAGGATTCTGCTGATGGCCTCCATCCAACACCAACATCAAGTCTATTTATAAACAATCAGCAGGGCCCCCTGTCCTGCGAATATCTGTGAACGGTCCTTATGTGCGAATAAAGGCAAAAACAAATGTTCTTCTTATATTTTATTTTCAGCGCGAATGTATTGTGATGTAATATTACACCATGGCCACTAGATGGAGCTGAAGGGCATAGGAAAGAAATACATATTGTCTATGCTCCTCAGCTCCATCTAGTGGCCATACTGCAGTATTACATCACAATAGATTTTAAGCTAAAACGGAAATATATTAACCAGGTTTGTTTTTGCTTCCATTCGCACAGAACAAATGTTCACAGATATCCACGGGACGGAGGGCCCTGCAAATTGTGGTTGGTGTTGGATGGAGGCCATCAGCAGAATCCTTTTTAGCTTTTGAGACACAGGAATTCAGTGCTGGCAGTCGCTACTGCCATCAACTAAGTGTCACCCCTACTGATTTCAAGGGGATGTCCACTTCTGTCCACTAGCTGACCAATGAACAGTGTGCAGTGAAAGCAGAGTAAGCAATTTCAATCCAGGAGAGGAGCCTGAGAGACTTAAGGGAAGGCACGAGGTCAGCTTTAACAAGCCGATTGAGGAAGGCGGTAGTTTAAAAGTGACTGGTCCTCTTTAGATTTCTAGTGAATACCAGTTACAAAATATCTGCCTCCATCTAATGGCCGCCTCCACTCCCTTCCTTTGGCTTCGCCGACACCTGGCCCGTGTTCCGTGCCGCCTCCAGCCCGGTGACCCGCTGGTACAGTTCCTCCAGCAGCTCATTGTGGCCGTTCAGTAACTCGGCGAGAGCTGCCACCTTGTTGGCGAGTTGGGAATTGCTGACTTTGACCTTCCTGCCCCCTTTAATGTTGTTCCTACAAGTCTTTGAGCTGCAGGTCCTGTGAGCCGGCGGCTCGGAGATGGTCTGGTTCACTTCTGTTTGGTTTCCGGATTCAACGGGCTCCACGGAGGTCTGATTTGCCGGTTCCGGTTTCAGCGCCTCTTCCATAGTTTCCAGTTTTTTTTGGACCAGCGCCATTTGGTTCTCTATAATGTCCATTCTGGCAGGCACTCGGGTGAACAGTTCGGTGACATTTTCTTTCAGTTCTGCAACAAACAGATTGGGATATAAGTATTAACAGAATGAATCATGGGGGACCAATGGGGCGCTGTTGACTTGACTTCCAGGGCTAACTTTGATACCCAATGATAAATGTGACACATACGCACAGATCCCTTTACCTGCTCCATATCTAAGGAGGGTTCAAGGGGAATGTTCCATTAAGCTGGAAGGTCTTACTGTGTGAGAATAAGTATCCTTGAATCGCCATGAGATGGCAAAGGATGCTCGCAACCAGGAGGTTGTGTTTGTGGTCACCAATGATGTTCAACAGCTCTGATTAAACTCCCCGATCAAAGTAGACTTAAATACCCCAATCCTAGTGTCTCACCAGGTGAAAATTAAGGGAAAAAGCCCCCCCTATTTAAGGACTGGTCCACAACAATATCACATTTTTGGGTTCAGATACGCTTTAAACATTTTTTTATGAATAGGGAAATCATTTACCTTGGCAGGACCCGGCAGACGTTCTTGTCATCCTCTTCACTTTCCTCCATGCCTCTTCCTGCTCCTTCTGCAAATTTTGGAACTGAAGCCATAACTCAACCAGTCCAATGTACATCCTGGGGACAGCCTGCAACACAGGGCGACAATCTGCTCACTGCACGGGATCTGGGAGCCAGCTGACACAGCAGAGACCTTGTAAGCCTCTGAACACACACACACACACACACACACACACAGAGCCTATTGATTAAAGATCAAAACTGATATCTCAACTTCTACATGTAGTTGTCATGCCTACGTTGGCCATTATAGCCTATGGCTCTAGGTTTCAATCACAGGTTCCCTTCACAGGTCAGTCCACCAAAAAAGTATACTTCAGATTTTTTTTTAGTAAAGTTTAATTCCTGACAATTTCTTCTAGGACTTGGGGACTTTACTGGTGAGATGGCTGCGCTGGGTTTCGGGGTCTGCAAATCTGCTGTACCCATTATAAGGGGATCCCACCATCTCCGAGCTGAGTTCCGGGATCTGCACACCTGCTGTGCCCATTAAGAGGGGTTCCCACCATCCCTGAGCTGAGTTCCCTGGTCTGTACACCTGCTGTGTCCATTATGAGGGGTCCCACCATCCCTGTGCTGAGCTCCCATATTTGCACATCTGCTGTGCCCATTATGAGGGGTCCCACCATCCTTGCACTAAGTTCCTGGGTCTGTACACCTGCTGTGCCCATTATGAGGGGTTCCCACCAACCTTGAGCTGCGTTCCCAGGTCTGTACACCCGCTGAGCACATTATGAGGGGTCCCACCATCCCCGCACTAAGTTCCCAGATCTGAACACCTGCTGTACTCATAATGAGGGGTCCCACCATCCCCGCACTAAGTTCCCAGATCATAACACCTGCTGTACTCATAATGAGGGGTCCCACCATCCTTGAGCTGAGTTCCCAGGTTTGTACATCTGATGTGCCCATTATGGGGGGTTCCCATCATCCCTGTGCTGAGTTCCTTGGTCTTTCCAGCTGTTGTGACTATCATGAGCGGTTCTTCTCACCATTCCTGTGCTGAGTTCCTTGGTCTCTACACCCGCTGTGCCCATTATGAGGGTCTCCCACCATCTATGCTGGATCATTTATTTATTTTATATTATGGGGAATGTAACAGAAGAAGCTTGAACACACAAAGATGTCAACATCCAAAACTCCCTGGTGGACAGGAACTACAGCAGGGAAATGTTACTGTTCAAGTATCCCGGGTGTAAAAAGCCAGATGCTAAGATATTACTTTTAGGTGGACCAACAGTGGAGACATCAAGAAAGTGTACACGGATGACACCAGCTTTTATAATAAGGAGCGGTATTATGAAATCTGCATCCTTGGTGCTCGGAATGACCTAAACAGAACCACACTTGACAACAAAGCCTGTCACCTTGCCCATTTATGACAAAATTATAGGGTCATTATAAAGCCCGCCCTGCCCTTCCTATACCTATCTTCACAGCGCTATCTCCACTGCTCCGTTACCACCACAGCAAAATACCTGGGAAGGAATTCATCAAAACTGGAGCAGACAGAATCTAGGGCAGTTGCCCAAAGCAACCAATCAGGTTCTCTCTTCAGTTTGTTCATATGAGCTTTCAAAATGAAAGAGAGATGCTGATTGGTCTCAATGGACAACTGCTCCAGGTTGAGCCTTCTCCAGTCTTGATAAATTCCCCTTTTGGTGTAGGATCTTCCACAGGGTGGTGATGTGACCCTCTTCTGTCCTGCGACAAAGGTCCGATTAATGAATTGGCCGCTAAGCCTGAGCAGTGCACCAGGGAGGTCGCATATTCCCCCGTTCCCAGAAGCACCAGGTATTTTGCGGCAGCTGGAATGGAAGGTGGAACGTCATGCAAGAGCTGTGAAGGTTAATGTAAAGTGGCTGAGGAGGTAGAAACCTTCTCATATAGTCCTACAACTGCAAGGTGACAGGGTCGCCTAAAAAGTAATTACCAAGAGTTCCCCCTTATGAGTCTCTAGGCTACAGACACAACACAAGAACCTAAACCAGCCAATCTCAGGTCGAAGAAAATGTGGTACTCACCTGTTTTATAAGTTCAGGCCTCCATCCTTGGAATGTTGGTTGGTCCACAATCTGGAGAGCCTGGTTAAGCTCTTTCCTGATATCCGCTTCCGAGAAGTTCTTATTAGGTAGCTGCCACCCAACATCTCCACAAGACATGCCACAGAGGAGACAGAAGAAAATGCCAACCAAATTCCTATGGAGCTTCATTGCACTCATTCAAGTCATCCACTACAGGCAAAGCCTGGACCCCGTAAAATACCTCTTGTAACACGAAGACACATTAACAGTGAAGAAAGGATGGAAGAGAAACATGATCTGAGCCTCACCACCTCAACGACTTGTTATTCTTTGGTTATTTAAAGTTCCCTGCCCAGCAGGAAACCTTCGCCATATGACACAGAAGAAGCTCACGCCGGGTGGGAAGACTTTCTCCAAACATACGCCGACAAGTCAATGTTGTGAAACTATTTTCAGGGCAGCTGAAGGCTTCATAGTGTAAACTTTCACTGGATGATGTTTAGTTTGCAAAAGTACAGTGTAAGATAAACAATTGAAAGTTTTCTTGCCATAAAATAGTGTTTTCCCTTTTTTTTGTCCTTTTTTGGCATCTCGGTACCACTGATCTCCTCAAGTCTCTTTCAGTCATTTCCTGTCTATATGCACACACTCCAGCATCAGCTGCACGGCATTGTTCTGAACTGGCCTCCTCATAGGCCATGTTTGCTCGAAGTGTCTTGTTGTTTTCACCAGGGGCGTATGTGACAAGGCAGAGGGAACAATTTTGAGACAGTTGTCACCCCACAGCAGGAAGTCTCTGAACAAGAACCTTCAGGTCTTCAGAGTGGGACCTGAAGTCAATGACACATGGAGTGTATTATTTAGCTCCCCAGGGCCATTCCAGGTCGCATTTATTTCGGTCACGTAGGGCTGGCAGGCAGAGCGGCATGGCTGCTCTGCTGCACAATGTTTGCAGTGTGCCTGCCGCCCCCTTTCCAGCCAGAGTGTCCCAGGTTGCTAAAAACCAGGCGGGGAGATATGTAAGGGCCATATACATCTCTCCACCCAGCTTTTAACAACCTGGGACATTCTGCCTGGCGTCGTGCCCAACTCCTGGTAACCGATGCTGTCACTGGTTGCCAGGAGCTGGGCAAGATGCCGGCCAGAGCATCCTAGGTTGCTAAGAGCCGGGCTAGCAGCATGAACCCCCCACTGCCACCACCTCAGTTGGCAAAAAGGCAAGGGACACCATTTTGGCTATCTGTTCCCCATTCAGACTTCCAATCACAGCGCCTACCAGAGGGAAGTCTTCCAGCATCAACTTCCTTCCCAATGTCATGTGACCGAATGCCAAGAGCTACAATGGAAGATGATGCTGGAAGTCCTGCTGGCTTTTTCTCCCTTCACAGTTTGGACCTGGTGCACTTTCTTCGGCCCACTAAAATCTGTTCCTGCCATCAAAGTGCCAGTTGGTTACGTACGCTTCCGAGGCCAAAAGTTCCCAGCCCTCTCTTGTGATCTGGTAATAATATAAGTGAAATATAAGTGCTGGGAATACAACATTCATGGTTGAAAAACTAAATCACAACTGTGATAGTTGAATCAGTACTAGTATAATGAAAAGCTCCAAGCCAAGGCAAGGGAAGGCAAGGCAGGACAGCCTCCTGCTTTAAGTGGTGGTAGTAGGGTGGGCTAAGCTGGGGTAGGAGCCTGTCCTTCTGTCATGTTTCTGTAGGACCCCAATGTCAATCTCACAGATCTGCTCTACCAGCATCATTGAAATCCACCGGCAGCCCTTTGTTCCAGGAGCGCCGGCTCCTCATTATGTCTGTCCTTGCACAATTTGTACATTTGCATTAGTGGAATTGTGTACTTATGCCAGGTATCTAAAATCTTGCTAGTGTGCCATAGTTAGCAGCAGCAGCTGCCTTGGATAACATGAGTAGCTGATGATTCTTCCATTAGCTCCAAATGCACAAAAAGTCAATTGCTCAGCAACTAAGCTACAAATTGCTTGGCGTGTCAGCGACACGGCCCATCCATTGACTGCATTACATAGTAGAGAGACATGGCCCTAAGGGAACAAATTGCCCACATTCTCAATGGAGGCTCTAGATGTGTTGATGCTGAGTATGTCCACTGGCTCTGTTTTGTTCTCCCCCCAGCCTTGGTGTGCTTGGATTTGGCTGACCTCTGACCTTGTTAGTGTGATACAAAGGTTAACAGGGGTGGAATGGGGGTGGAACAAGAGATTTGGCCCGGAGGGGGGCAGGAAGTATACATCCGACCCCGATGCTCTATCCTGGAGCGTGGGATACCCCCCTCTCAGGCTGAAAAATGCTGGACTCAGTGGGAGACCTTGCTTTATTGTATTGTATTGAGCACATGTTGTATTGTTCGGTTTGGACAAATTTGCTAATCATTACTTTTTAGATTTTTACGACTACTAAAAAAATTATAATAATAAAAAAAGGTTACAATATACAGGTTTATATTATAGTAGAAAAGTACAATGCAGCTAAAGGCTTCTGTATGACAGTCTAAACAAGTACCAAATCTAGTTACTATACAATGAAAAAGCCTTATAAATAAAAAAATAAAAAACTTCCTTTACCTTCCCTGACTGAGCCAGATGCTCCTTAATTTGTGTCTCACCCGCTCCCCCTCTCAGACACTGCAGCTCACAGTGGGAGGGTTTCAGCAACAGAGGCAGTGCTGTCAATCCAGAGAGCAGTGGGTGCTACAGGCCTACAAGTAAGCAGTGACAATGTTAATAGCCACGCCCCCTGCAAAATTTTCCCCTCCCACTGTAGTACTCCATGAGAGTGACAACTTTGCTCTGAATACAGGAGAAGTGCAGCATCGTTGCCACCCCATCACAGGAAGCTGCATTAGGTGGACATCACTGACAGGATCATTTGTGTAACTTTGCAGAGGGACTTTGAATTAATGTCTGCAGCACATATTGTATAGTATAGTATAGTATAGTGACCCTGTACTTTTTATGAGTTACTCTCTTTTTTTATGGGCATTTATATACTGGGAAGCTATACCCACTCATGTCACGGTTTCCCTTGCCCCCCAAGTTACTCTTTTTTATTCCATAGCTGAGAAATTCTATGATTTGTGGGGAGAACCTCAACACATGTAACTGCCAACTGCAAATGGATGGACGCACTTTGTTTCTTTCAGAGATACATTCATTGTCTACACCAGGGTTCCCCAAAGTGGTCAGTACCGGCCCCCAAGGATCCTTCAATGGGAGTCTCCAAGGAGTTGGTAAAATAGCTGGGTGCAGCGCAGGGACAAGGTCCTTTACTACCCAAGGTGAAAAGGCCAATGTGTGTCCTCTCCCAAAGCTATAAACTATGTCAGTAGCATCAATTGCAGGTCTTGCCCCCTCCTGCTGAGGAACCCAAGGCACTCACCCCTGTTTTATCTACTTCTTGACCCAGCCCTGGCTGAAGGACACCTAATGTCTGGGTGTCAATAGGATGTTGATAGATGATGGGAGGTGAATTGGGGACAATTCATAATTTTAAAGGAGAACTATGGGGTTAGGGCTTTTCCCCATAGTTCTCCTAAGGGTAACGGGAGGACACAAACTGGCGTCCTCCTGTCACCCTAAGCTCAGTATGCCGCGAGCTACAGCTCGCGGTATACTGAGACGCCGCAGCTGAAGCGTATCCCGACAATTATGTCTGGATCCGCCCAGCTGTGTGACTGACAGCTGGCTCTGCCTTTAGATAGGCAGAGCCAGCTGTCAGTCACACGTTGTAGCTCTACCCGCCCCCACCCCCGTCCGTTCCGCCTGTCAGCGCTGGCGGATCGGAGCGGGGAGGGAGGAATCCGGTCCCTCCCCTGTCACGGCAGAGAGCCGTGACAGGATCGAGAGGAGAGCGAACGCCGGTATGTGTTCGCTCACTTCCCGATCTACTGAGCCGACCTGTGACAGTCTCATTGTCACAGGTCGGCTAGAACTATGAGGTGAGTGAAAAGCACTCACCTCATACTTCTCCTTTAAGGTCTCTGTAGAGCTCCAGGACGACCCCTAGTCCCATTATTTGATGTTAAACGTTTTAGTTAAAAACAAGTATAATAAATCTTATGTGTTTCATATTTTAAATATTACCTCTTGCTAAAAGCGGCTTTCCCCTTCTCATGGTCATTATCCTCAATACCCTATTTAGGGATAAATCTTACTCCCTCATATGATCTCTTCATGGCGAATTTTCCACCTATGTTTAAAAAATTGAAGGGAGATCTTGAAAGATGGTCCCTGTGTAGCCTTTCCTGGTTGGGGAGAATAAATGCTATTAAAATGACCTTACTCCCTCGTCTGCTATACCTATTTAGGGCCCTTCCTATCCCGGTTCCTAAATCTGAATTAGCTATATTTCAGTCAGGTTTTATGGAGAAAGATTGTATTGTTGTTTTGTGGTATTGTGATTTTATGTTGTGATGAAAATAATAAAATTTTGAAACACATAAATATTACCTCTTGTTTAATAAAGTCATTATTAATATTATCATTTGTAGTACTATTATTTAAAGGAGTTGTGAAGTCTCAGCATATCCTCTCCTGTTATAACATCATCATTTTAATAGGAATAGTAGACATGTGCGATTCCTTTTGTTCTGAATTAAAATTCGTACTAATTTTCTGAAAATCGGACATTCGGACACATCCGAATTTCTGAATCCCAATGCATTTGAATGTTTCCGAATCCGAATTTCCGTTTCCGCATTTCGGATCCCGTCCGAATTTTGTTCAATAAACGAAATTGAATGGGACATGTGACTTTTCTGGCCAATCAGATGTGTTTTTTGGTTTAATGCATCCGAATGTGTCTGAATTTTGGTTACGGCAACATGGGAGCCATATACAGTATATACATATAGTACTAAAGCTGAGGTTCCTAGACCCCAATGGCATTCAGGATCTGAGTTTCCGAATTGCATTCGGGAGCTCCCAAATGCCATTTGGGTCTGGGAGCCTCAGCTTTAGTAATATATGTATATGGCTCCCAAACCCGAATTGCATTTGGAAGCTCCAGAATGCAATTCGGAAATTCAGATCCCGAATGCCATTCAGGTCTAGGAGTCTCAGTTTTAGTATTAATACCTGTATTTGGTTTTCTGTCGTATTCGCAACGAATATTCGTAAACTCATCCAAAACTAACGAAAATTCGGATTTCGTCCGAATTTGAAACCCGAACCGAATTGAATTTCAGATCCGAATCCCGAAATAACGAAATGTCCGAACCGAACCAAATTTTTCCACAGCTTACATGTCTAAAGCATACATACTGGAGTTGTTTCTGATAATACAATCAAAGTTTACTTGAAAAAATCCCTTTTATGTAGCCGCCTTCCGTCTGTCCATCACTTCCAACAACTTGCTGGATCCCCAGTGTGCTTTGCGTCTCTTTCCCTGCTGCTTGATGTGACGCAATCTCCATTTCTTAAGACCACATATCCCATCATGCATTGCTTCCAGCAAGCAATGATAATGTTACATTGTTCAGACGTTGAGTTGAAGTTTCTGAAGGCAGACGCTGTGAGACTTGTGACAGGAGAAAGCGAGTGATATGGTGTCAGTGCATTGAGGAAGTCAATCCTATGGGCATCTTCCATAAGTAAGTTTACTACTGGTTATTAGGAGTGGGAGAGAACTTATAGAAACTCAATATAGAAATACAGATTTTTAAAAATGTTTTTGACCATAGGTACCTTTTAACATTTTTATTTCATAAAATAAATGTTTGGGGGATCAATGAACAATCGGAAGGGATTGATGAACTGTAGAGTTTGGGGGACCCCTGGTGGCTCTTTTCCAGACTGACAATTGATAACAGGATCGTTGTCCTCAGCATTAAAGTCAATGGTAAACCTTCTTGTTTCAACTGACATTGTATATCAGATAAAATGGCCACAAGGATCAACATAAGCTCTTTTTATTCTCCTATAAATACAGAGAAAAGACTTTCCGGGGAAGCAATTCTTTTTACTGTATGAAAGTAAAAATGCCCCTTCCTTGGATGAAGCACAGACAGGTTCTTCCATCGATTGATTTTCTCTGCGATCAAAAAAATTGCATGACAACACCACTTTCCCCTGGTACTAAAGGGGATCCTTATCCATCCCTGGGATTGAACTGCTTTATTTCTATCACCCAGCGTGCGCACATCTATCTGTTACTGCAGCAATGCATTATGGGACATAAAGCCCAACTGAGATCTCACACCTGTTATTTTTCCTTTATAGTCCGGTACCCACATGTGTTATGATTCTTAGCTAATTTGTGCTAGTAAATGCTTTAAAGAAGAAATCCGATCATTTTAAAAACCTCCCATCTGTTCCTCAGCATTACAAGTCTGTGTGAGAAGGATTGTAATGAGGGGTGTGGCTGCTACTCTACCGATGCAAAGTACTGGAGTGGGAGGTAGGAAGTGCAGATCCACAAAGAGAAAAAGGCATTTTAAAGAAGAACTTTGGGTAGTTTAAAAACTTTTGCTTGCAGTGGTGCTACCCCCGGCATTGCAAGGGTTCAGTGCTCATTTTGTCTAGGGGGCTCAAATAAAACAGATTTGCTCACTGCTGCTAGACCGGTCCCTGCAGCCTATCCTGCCTGTCTGACAGCTGACGTCATCATGTCTAGTGCAGGCCCATTGACTTGCTTAATTCCATCCCCTAGAGCAGGGGTAGCCAAACTGCGGCCCTCCAGCTGTGATGAAACTAGTCCCAGTAGGCATTCCAAGTCTCTGACAGCCACAGGCATAGCCTACTGAGGCAGATGCATGATATTATTTGTAGTTTCCCCGCAGCAGGAGGGTCGCAGTTTGGCTACCCCTGCCCTAGAGAAACGCTTGTAGTGTGAGGGTAACCCCACTGCAGGGGAAAGTGTTTTTTAAAATGCCCGAAGTTCTACTTTAAAATACCTTTTTCTCTATGTAGATATGCACTTCCTACCTCCTACTCCAGTACCGTGCGTTGGCAGAGCAGAGTAACAGCCACACCCCTCATTACAATCCTTCTCACACAGAAGGAAGAAGTGTTGAGGAACGGAGGGGGCGTGTCTGACCTGAGAAGGGGTGTGTCTGACCGGGCCTGTTAGATTATGAAGTGCTTGGGGCAGTGTGGTCAACTCCTGGTCCCAATTAGACTGCCCAGTAACATCTGGACACTCTGCGCAAATTCTATTACAGGACTCCTGGTGTCAATTAGAATGTGTGGAAAGATCTAGACAAATGCTAATATAGGAAATTGAAGGTAAAGCCTATGAATCTAGTACAAGGCATTAGTACAATGTGTATCTTACTGAATTTCGGGCTTCAATGCCCGACTAGAACATTTCTAACAGGGCAGAGGCATACAGGCCCATGACACACCATATGAGAATGCTTAAGGGGGTCCTTGCAAGCAAACTTAATCATTGCAATAAAGAGATAAGGACAGGCTGATGATACAAAGATATACAGACATGTTCAAAATAAATTTAAAACAAATAACACGTTTAATGTATTTACTGAATAGTATACAAGTCACTTATTGCCCGGTAAGCAATGACAGAGAGATTACAATGCCACCTGCTGGTTGCTTAATAGGTCTGCGCAAAAAAGACGGGCCTGTCCCATTCATATACTGTGTGTAGTAATAATTACAATTACTCTCTATTAGTAGGGTTTTGCTAACAGGACTGCTGTTGGTCGCTGGCAGGAAAGAAGGTCCATGTGACACAGTGCTTGGTATCTGGTTTGCTTCCATCACCACCAACGTCATTAAGGACTGGAACCAAATCTCTTAGCAATACAGCATTTATCCTCATTATATCCAATATGTACAAAAATAGACTGAGTAGCACTCTCAAGGACAGTGCTCCAGGCAGGTACAGTCCACCCTTTCTACAGCTCCATGAATTAAGGGGTCATCCGCCAGTGTTAAAATGGTGCCCCTGGGCAACCCTTTCCCTGTGGCAATGCCGGAGACCTCTCCAGGCGACAAGGCCCGATTCCACATGGCAAAGCCGGCCAGACTTCCAACGAAGGCCTCCGAGCTGTCGAATCCGCCACCCAAGGTGTCCTGCTCCTGCCCAAGCACCAGCGATCCTCCGGGTGGGATATCATAGCCTTTCTGGAAACGCGACCCAGTGGATGTCAGTCTACGGTCAACGTAGAACCAGTACTTGCCCTGGATGGAGGACCAGATGAAACAAGTGTGGTGCCATTTGCCGTCAATCAAGGGCACCAGAGGTAATTCCCGGAAGGCAGGATCGCCAATAACGAAGTGGAAAGCGTCATAGGTGGCGCCGTTCCTGCCGTGGAGGACCAGCTTGTTGTCATTATCTTCTGTGGCGTAGGAAAGGATGGTGCCCAGGTAACTGGCATTGGTTTTGACCCAGCTACAGATAGACAGTTCATGAAGTGGTTCCCTCAGGCCTTTGGTGAAGGTGACATAGTTTTCCGTGGAGGAGTTTGGGAAAATGAGCATGGAGTGCACATTGCAAACTGTAAAAAGAACACAAGAGAGAACGTCATTAATGGACTATCAGAGCAATAAGCACATGAAGACATTCAAGCAACACTTACAGAAGAAAATGTAAAATAGACTCATCAAAGGTTGAATAGACTTGGACAGAATGGACTATGCAATTGAAATTCTCAGTGATGACCCTCAACCCTCCCTTTTAGATTGTAAGCCCTCAGGGACAGGGCCCTCCTTACCATCTTGTCTTGAATTGTATTGTGATTGTAATGTCTTCCATATATTGTAAAGTGCTGCGCAAACTGTTGACGCTATATAAATCCTGTATAATAATAATAACAAGCTAAAACAGTCATTTTTTTTAAACTCTTGGAAAACATGTTTTCATTGAAAGTCTATAGACTCCTGTCCATAGAGACAGGAAGAGCAGTGAAGCACAAGCAATATGGCGGCCCCCTTGGCCTCCATGTAATACATATTAATTATACAAGCCTACATTAGGTCTCCATATAAGCAGGTCTACATAGTTATTCCATTATAGTTACCTATGGACACATTTAAAAGCTTTATATATCCCTTAAAACTTTAAAAAAGCTTTAATATATCACTTCTTGACTTATGAATGGCACCATAGAGAACTTACTAGTGGCTGGGGTTTTGGTTCTTTTCTCTTCAAGTTTTAAAGCAGCTGTCGTATGTGGTGGTTTCCTAGTGGATAGAAGAGGTATTACTGTCTCTCCCGGTGGCCTGGTGTCTTTGGCCACAGAGCTACGTTGGGCTGATATCTGTATAATATTATCTGTAACAGGAGGAGGCAATTGTTGGAACTCAAGGAGGCTGGTCCTTTGGTTTGTGTCTGGCCCCATTGTAATGGACGGCACCATCGTAGTTTGGACATCAGACTTCTCCTCTTGTGTTGAACCTAGATTCCTGGTTACCACATCATGTTGAGCTGCCATGGGTTCCATTTTGTTTTTGCTGGGTAAAAGCAGTAGCTGCTCCTCATGGAACTTTTTCCTTTGGTTATGCTTGCTCTGTAGCTTGAGTAGTCGTTGTTGGACAGTTATTGGCCCTGGGTCATTTTGTGGGGGGTCCGGCTGTTTTTCTTTAGGGGTACGATTGATCTCTGAAGCCATTAAGGAGCTCAGTGGTAGAATTTCATTTTGTTGCATGTTCTGCAGCTGTTTTTCTAGCTCGGCAATTTTTCTGCCCTGAATCTCGACAGTCTCTCGGAAGACCTCCATCCCTTTCTGTAGCTCGCCCTTGTCTTTCACCAACTGGTAAATAATCCTTTTCTGGTTGCTCAGCAACGTTGTGAAGTTGCCCATAGCCACGTCCTGGGCCTTGTTTTCCTTGTTTATCTGCTTGTTCTTCTCAGCCATGGTTCCCTCCAGGGAAGAGATCTTCAAATCCAACTTTTTCGTTTTCTTCTGAACCTTTTTTAGCCAAAACTTTACCCCATTCAACTCTTGCTGAGTCACGTCACTTGAAGCATTGAGGGCTTCTGCCAGAGACTGTTGCTGGTCAGAAAGATGGTGGAAGCGAGCATCGATATTATAGGAGATGTTGTAGTTTTCGGCAATGCCTTGTAAGCGTTTCAACGTCATATCTTGGAATCGTCGAAACTGCAAAATAAATAAAATTGTTGTTCATGCTGAAAGCTCAAGAACAAATACATTCCAAAGTCTTCACATACAAGAATAGTGCATCTAGATAACATTACAAAGAAGTGTTTAAAATTCACGGAAACCCAAGGTAACTCATTACAATAAAAGGTAAAGATACCAATAGCCATGGGATGAAGGTCACAGATTAGGTCATTAGCTAAAGGCGGGAATAATCTTGCAGCTATTTTTGTTAAAGTTGGAGCTGGGCGTTGTTGTTGCACCCTCTGCACTTTACAGACTGAACACAAATGCTCCACCAAGCTGAACTTTTCTGTTTAGGGACCTATTGGCAAACACATATGCCCAAGGCAGTCAATCTGTGGCTGCATGTCCAACCACCCTTTAGGGTCTACGGGCAACTAAGAGTTTAGACCCCCAACTGCCACTTGATGAAGGTTTGATGAAATTTCTGCCTCTAGCCTCAATATTTTATTCCCCTCATCTCAATCCCTCTCCTGACATCTTTTTCTTATTTCCCTTCCTTCCCTCTTGTCTTCTTCCCTCTTTTCTCCTCAATTCTCCTTTCCCCACCTCTCATCTTCTCCCCTTCTTTCCACCCCAACCCCATTTCCTCTCCTCCTCGTCTTTCATATCCTCCATTCTCTAGCTTCCCACTCCTCTGCCATCCTCTCCTATTTTATTTTGCTTTCCTCCCCTTCTTTTTCTTTCCTCTCTCCTCCTCTACTCTCCTTCCATTGAACATAGAGAAGGTGGTACTAAGTGGGCAGGGTATGCTTTCCTGAATGCCTCTCCTGGACCAGTGCCTGTATTACCACTCTGCATCCAAAAAACATGACAGTAGCCAATTTCATGGTAGAAATTGAAGCCAGTGAAAGGTCAAGAATTAACATGGGGATGACAACTTCACAATAAACCTTTGTCCATTTTTAGATGGCTACAGTTCATATTTAAGTTTATTAGCCCTTTAAATAACTATTTTATTAACGCTGCCAACAACTGTTTCTCCCTGTGATCACCAAGACCTCCAGCAGAGTAATAAATGGTAAACTATCTGTATAACTTCGTGTGTGTGTGTGTTTGTGTGTGTGTGTGTGGGGGGGGTTCAATTCCTTTTCAAAGCCTAAAATGGCTGATATCACTATTGTTTAAAGGATATGTAGACATTTTAAAAAATCACCAAGTCTGGATCCACATTATCCTGTGTGCATGCAGCATATGTGGTAATGCCCATGTGTAGACATGAATGGGCCCATATGGTTTACTTTTCACTTTCACGCTAAACTGCGTGACATATATGTGAACCAGCCACATATGAAATAAAGGCATTTCTACTTGCAATACATCTTCATGCGGTAATATACAAGAGTGTTTGCTCACAGAATGTCACTCTCCAGTGACAGAGTGATTCCTTGCTCATTTCAATCTTGGCCAGCAAAAGGATCGCTAATGTGCCATGGCTCTTAGCAGGGAGCCGCTGTTTACTAAGGATGAAACAATGGTTATTCAGACTGAACCTGTACTATGACCATAGCAGTCAGTGGAAGGATTTTGTGATCAGCGGCATCACAAGGGGGGTGCGGCTCGCACCAGGTGACACCATCGGAGGGGGAGAAACCAAAATAACTGACAGTCATTTTGGTGTCACCCCCTCTTAAAAGTCGGGCACTCAGTCAGAGACCGCGAGCCCGACAGTTGCAGGAGAGAGGACGGGGCCGGGCGGCATACCTTATCCCGCCCCCTCCTTATCCCCCCGGCAGGTAAGCGCGTGTGACGTCATTATGCAGATGCGTGATCACCTCACATGCGTGATGATGCCGCGCATGCCTGATGACGTTCCAGTGAGGTGTCACCCGGCGGCCGCTCCAGGCGACACAACACCTGGGGACGCTCCTGCTTGTGATCATGCATTGCATTCCAAACCTTTTGTCAGATTTTTAAAATTCATTGCATGCATGTTTGGCTGCAGTTGCCCATTTTAATGGTGTTTATATGCGTGAAATGAACAAACCACAAGAGTTATTGTACTTTTATGGAACTACAGGTCAAAGCATGACATTTTAAACACCCTTTAAAAGTCTGCAAATTCTTGAGGCACCCCAGTCCAAAAAACAAAAACGTAAAAAACCATGTGACCCTTATCCGAGGTAGGGTCTGGTGTGAATTTTAATAGGGAACCCCTTGCAAACATACGAAAAAAGTAGGCTTCTCCCCTCTTGTCAGAATCCCCCCTCCACAGTAGAAGCTGCAGATGCGACAGCATGGCAGAGAATGCCACGTGGACCAGGCCTGGGATGAGGCAAACTTCTGCCCCTTGAATGGATTCCATACTGCTTGGATTAGCTAGGTATGTGGTGGTTTCCTAGCAGGTGGAATAGGTATTACTGTCTATCCTGGTGGCCTGGTGTCTCTGGACAAGGAGCTAGGTTGGGTTGGTATCTATATAATATTATCTGTGACAGGAGAAAGCGATTGTTTGAACTCAAGGATGCTGGTTCATTGGTTGGTCTGTGGCCCCATTGTAATGGACAGCACCATTGTAGATTGGACTTCTCCTCTTGTGATGGACCTAGTTTCCTGGTTACTACACCATGTTAAGCTCTAATAGGTTCCATTGTGTTTTTTCTGGGTATTCGTTTACATGGTGCTGGCGGCCAGCCCACTTACACCATGGAGAGGCATGTTGCTGTTAATAATTTCGAGGCACCTCAGAGGTAATCGGAAGGCACACCCAGGGTCGAAAAAGGCTGCTACCGGTATACCCCACTATAACCTTAATGCATATCTAGAGCCAAAACCTTTTTCTCTATTCCTGGATAGAGTACGGAAGTTTTAGAACCCATTGCATTTTGTTTTTCTTTTTGCAATTTGGATCCCATTGGGGATTTTTTTTTTCATTCCTGTTGCAGAGAAATCTCTCCGAAGTGAGGGAATTGCCATCTTAGTCACCAGGACAGGTGGAAGATTCCCCCTTCACCTCTTGCTCTGGGGACAACTGTAAAAATGTGGGTGTTTCCATCACTTTCCATGCCAGCGGGACAAATAAAAAGGGTGAATCTCCCCCACCGAGAACACAGACATCAATCAAAACCTAACCCGGGGGTTGCATTCCTATGCAATAAAATGAAAAAACAAAAAACATTTTGGCTTTAGATACACTTTGATGGGAATGCCTCTGGACTTACAATAACAGGTGCCATTGCTTAGGGTCATAGGTCACCTGACATCTAAAAGTTGCTGAAATGCCAACTGCCTGACCCCGCTCACTGTCCTCCATTAGAGTGGAGTTAGCATTGTGTGAGGTCAGGCAGATACCAAACAGCAACTGTCAGACTTTAGGTGACCTCAGACCCCTAGAAATCAGGAAAAGTAAAAGTTAGTAAAGCTGAAATGGGCCAAATATAAATCATCCATAACCTATCCCATACAATAATATTGATTAAAGACAGATTCCTGCACACTGTGATAGGTTCTCTTTAAAGCAAACCTGTGAGAAATATCGGCAAATGAAACCCCAAATTTCCTGGAATAAAATAAAAAGCGCTGACCACCAGCAGGTCACAATAATCGGCAGATCCACCTGGATTTGTATTTAATGTTCCTCTTTTTCCACTGAAGTCATGCTTGGTCTTGGTTCTGCCCACCATCCAAATTCCCTATTGGCCAATAAGACATGACTAATAGGGAGCCTCAAGAGGGGAGGGGCCAAGCCTGACTTTTACTGAAAAAGTCAAGATTTGCATGTAACCTTAGCTGACTCTTGGGATCTATTGACCGTCACTGCCAGGAACCTCTGCTTAGATATTTCTAAATCACATGATCCGCTTTAATTGGCCAAATGTGTAACATGTTTACTTTAATGTATAACCAAAACTAAAGCTCATTTTTACATTTTTGGATAGAGCATGAAATAGTCAAAAGCTGTCTGTGTCCCTTTGAGTAGACTTTCCTTTACTTCCTGCTTTGGAACACAAGAGGAAATCTCTCCAAAAGAAGGGAAATCTTCAGCTGTTACTCTTAGACAGTCCAACTGATATCATCGGTTTTATTACTATGCATACACAATATTTATTTCACAAATAAACATTCGCCACAAGCTGTTTGCTTTCAGGTTCTGTCTGTCTAATTGAAACTCTAAAGGGAACCATACAGAGAAGATATGGAGATGGGAGGAATGGTTCCTCTATTTCATTTAACCTTCTGAGCTCTATTTACCAAATGTTTCTCAGCAAAGACATTAAAGAAGGTTCCTTCTCTTATCCTGTCCAGGAGACCACTGCAAAATTATGGATTTCCAATCACATGGTCATCAGGACAAATAGAGGAGGTGAGCCTCCCCAGGGAGGACATAGACAGCCATAAAAACCTGACAAAGGTTGCAATCCCCAAGTGAAAGTTGGTTTCAGATACACCTTGAGGTTTGTTAGAAATTGTCCCACCAACCATTCCTGACCAAGTCTTGAAGTTCAAACACAAAGACCGACCAACCCTCACCTGTTCCTCCAGCCTCCTGAACCGATCGAAAAACGGCTTCCTCTGCTCCAGCACCCTCTGTTGTTCCATATAGACGCCATGTAGGCAGAAACCAGCCAAGAACAGGAACCCGAAGACGTGGCCTCCAGCCATCATGGTTGTTTCTCTTGATATCTCCTGCAAGATTTGGGTCTTCTTATACAGACTATGGACTCTGAACTTCTTTCAACTCCCGTATCCCTCAGTTTGCATCCTTTACTCTTTTTGCTTTCCAGTAGACTTCCTATTTGTGATAATTTGCCTTCCTCTATGGTTTCCAAAAAGTTGTATTCCCTCGTTTCTTCTTTTCTTACTGTTCCCTTATGTTTCCTCACGTGCAGACGCCGAACTTCTCCTTCGGTCTGAACCGTTCCTAGTCTGA